GCTAGTAAAAGAGCTGAGGAAGTTCAGAAAATTAAAGTCACTACTGGCATTACTTATGCAGAAGGTCCTGATGCATCTCAGTAATCCAGGTAAAAAATCAAAAGGAAAAAAATTGTATAGGTCCTCTTGATAGAGAGGAACGTTGGTTTGGGAGAGGAGTAAAAGAAGCCATTTTTGTGAAGAAAGACCGTCCATCATTAAACAGAGGTGGAGGCCTCCGTTTTCAGTTGTCCCCCTCCTACAGCCCTGCCATTGCCAGTATCACTCCACCCCCTGTTAACAATAAGTGTTAATTAGGTGTCAGCGATAGCCATGTGATGTATCAGTCACATGGAGGCAGCTAAAAGCCTGAATTTTGCCTGAAACTCTCWGACTGAAGAAGTCTCTTGGAAGAGAGCCGAAATGTGTCATTAGAGAAGAACCCGTCCAGAGGACCTATACAATTTTTTTCTTTTTGGTTTGTTTAGTTTTCACTAAGATGTTTTTGATGTAGGGAAAATGAAAAAAAAAAAAAGACTACTGATAAAGAAATCCCAATTAATGCATCAGTTTTATTTAAATTAGCTTTTTATAAGCAATTGAATAAATAAGTTATTGTTTTAAAATGTTATAGAAGAGGGCTTGAGATAATTCATGTAATATAATTTGACAATGCATTTGAAAAAAACTAATAAAATAAAATAATTTAAAAAAACTGGCCAAGTCTGGTTCTTGTTAAGCATTTCATCTTGGCCCAGGGTCATTGAGTTTCACTCCTTTATTTGTTGAAAAGCTACATGTTTTGATCCTCAGTTTTGCTCCCAAGTTTGTAAACAGAATTAGCAAACACGAGACAGAATTAAAACTTGACAAAAAAAGAAAAAAGCTCAAGTGACTAGTTTTATTTATTAAAAATACACAAATTAAGCTTTTTAAAGCTCCATCAGACAGCAAATATTCAACTTTCATGTAATGCTGTTTATGTGTACATAAGTGTACTTATTTTGTAATCCTGGGTGTTTATACTTATTTTATTCTAGTTGGCTTATTTCTCTTCACATTTCTCTGATCTGAATGGTTGCAGCTGTAATACCTGTAATTTCCATCGGGGATCAATAAAGTATTCTGATTCAGTTCTTTACTCTGCCTCACAGTTGAGAAAATTTAACAGRGTTTTATGCTCGCACAACTGGAAATTATTAATTACTTTATATGTAGGATTAGTTTGTAAAATACAGTATAATATTAACTTTTATTTAACCAGACAAATCCAACTGAAATTACAAATCTGCTTTACAAGAGAGGCCTGCGCCTGAAGGCAGCCTTACCATGAACGTCCATCGTGTTGACTAAAGATATTGAGAGTTATGGATGGGTTTTCTTGTGCAACAACCCAAAGAAAGCATTAGTATTGGCAAAAAACAAAACAAAAAACAAATGTTTTGGATTAAACCATGTTTTATTACTCCTAATATTAGATGTAGATACACAAGTCAACAAACGGTATTCTTGAATTGTAATGAAAATGCTCCACGGCACACTGACATCGTGTGGAAGGGCCTGGTTTCACAGACGCATACCTGAAAATGGACAGCAGTTTTTGCAGTAGGTTGCATTAGTAACAGTAGTAGTAACGACAGTAGCAATAATGATCATCATAGCAATTAATAATAATAATAATAGTGGTAATAACAACTGGTTTATAGAGGAAGGAACAGACATTCGTCAAAAGTACCGAGAAATGGGAGAGGGCGTGTTTAGGAGAAAAGGCTTATCGAATGCTGCGAGACAGACCACTGGATTTAAAATAAAAACAAGCTCCATCAGACAGCAAATATTCAACTTTCATGTAAAAAGAGGAAGCTCAAACCATCAGTCTGTGAATACTCAACATGTAAAAGCAGTTTTTTCTTCATTGTTAGCAGTACTCTTAAGAACCAAAAACCTGTTTGACATCTATAACTTAAACTTCTTATATTCMGTTCAAAACTCACCTGTAGCGCGAAGATACTTTTAAAAAGATGCAATATGTGAGTTCAAATACCAGGGAGTTTCTGCATTAAATGTTAAATATACAGTACTGTAGTAATGCAGGTTTGTGTGTACAGTATGTCGAGTATAACAATAGTTTTTGCTTCACGTGACCAATTTGGCCAAATTCATTCGAGTCCTTAACATTCAGATGAGCTGATGTGACCCCGTGTGACCTCTGAGGTGGAGCTCGCCAACGCCCGACGAGATGCTGCTCAGAGCAGAGAAACAGGAAGCGGTGGAGGTGGGGGAGGAATGACCTCCTCCGTTCAAAACTGTGCCAATCACTTTGGCTCACTTAATGTAYGATCTGTGGTTCCTACGCTGTAGTTTAGTTTCAAGTCAACCTGCAATAAAACCAAAAGCTSTGTCACATACAGCACCTGCGACACAAAGTCCCACAGACAGATTCAGGCATTTGTAACGTTTTAAACCGCAGGCGTTCGTGAACTGAAGGTCAGRAATTTGCCCTCTCTGATTCTGAGGACCTCTAATCTGAAGAGTAGCATTAGAAGCTGAAAACAAGTCCAAATAATAATAATAATAATAAAAAACAAGCTGACTTGTTTAAATTTCCAGCTGGTTGTGCTATCGCAGCAGTTTGGTCTAACATTCATATGCGTGATCACTCTGACAAGGCAAACACACGTCGACTTTGTGCTCGTGTCTACGTTCACAACATCCTGGAAGTGAACTATTTTATTCACCAAATTTGAGCAATTTGTTCACATTAACTGCACTAGATCTTGTCTCATTTTTACGGTAAACACCAGTTTTAATCAAACTTGCCGTTAATTGGTCCTGAACGAGGTGAGCTGCTTTATTTTTCAGCATACATTAAGACAGAAAAGACTGTAGATGGCAATGATCAGGCGTTTACACTTACATTAAGTCATGCCGCAGTTGCAAGAGCATAAAACAACTTCCTGTAGGACTTTATTCATTGAAACTACTTCTGTTTGTGGCACACAGGTTCTCGTGATTACAGCTATATTCATCTAGAGCTATAATCCACTGACATACATTAGGTCATTGCCACAGGGCACGCGTTTAACATTCACATCTTTGAACTAAGAAAAACTTCCTTTAAGCCTGTTTGAACGGAGGGTGGGTTTGTGGAAAAGTAGCAGGTTCAAGTAAAGCTCAGGCTCGTCTCAGCTGGAAAGCGTGTCTTGTTTTACTTCTTCAGCCACTGATTAAATCGGAAATAAATCTGCCCGCTGTCCATCGGTCTCTGCTGGCATCCCTGCAGGATTCTCGTACAAACTGCCCCCTTGCACCAGTTAATAACATGAACCGAAACATATTAAGAGCTCGAAACKGAGAGGAAAAAAATGTCTATAGGAATGTTTAAATCAGCTTACACATAGATAAACCAAAATGGAGGAAAAGAGGAAAACGATTCCAGTTATAGTTTGTGTTTGTCTGGTTTTTGTCTGCATTTGAACACCAAAAAGCAGCATCCATCTGTCTATGTTTAACCAGAAACAAATAAACATGCAAAAATCCACAGCACCACAACTCACACACACGCACGCACGCACACACACGCACACTAGAAAACTAATCTTCTCTGCTTTGTACAGAAAAATAAAAATAAAACAAAGTTAAAAACCAAGCAGAAAAGACCTCACACAAAAAAGGGAAAAGAATCAAATACAGGCAAAATTAAAGAAAAAAACACTTATTAAATATAAATATCATTTTCCCAATGAAATCTGTGATCACTTACAGCACACGGCTAAAACTTGAGTTTTATTTTTGTTTCAAAAAACACCTCATAAACTTTCTAATTAAAAAAAAAGAGGGCAAGCCCATCATTCTTTACTACTTGAACCAAATGTTTCCATCCACAACATAAATTAAAATAACTAATTCAACTGTTTCCTCAAACCAGCAATTGCAAAAGATAAATAGAAATAAAAATTATATTATCAATAATATTGATCAGGTTAATACCATCAGTACCAGGAACATAAAAACTAGGAAAATGAAACCGAAGCACAGAAAGCCATCATCCATGGTTTTACTGGAGACCAGTCATCACAACGTCTCCGTCGAGACTCTCAGACTCTCCTGATGAGGACCCGCTCTGGTGATCTAGAACTGAACCTGGTTAATGACGACCCCCGTTAGAGACTAACGAGCTMGTCTGAAACTGGATGAGGGCTTTCAGCGCTGGGCCAATGTGAATTATTGACCGACGTCAAGTAAATAAAACTCAGGAGGAAAAAGTCAAGGAGGAAGAAAAAGGTTTTCTGTGAGCCGAGTGACATAACTGGAGAAACTCCTCGGAGGCTGCGCTGAGGGCAGTGTGTTTGTTTGACTTGTGTGTACCTTCCTTTCCCATCTGCCCCAGTTTGTTGAATTATTCATTCCCATTGATTTGTTTTTGTACAAGTGTTCTATTTCTTCTTGCCAAAGAAGCTGAATCTCTTCTCKCGGTCCTTCTCCTTGCCGTCCTTGKTGCGCATGGTGACAGCGTCGCCCGAGCTCGGCGAGATGGGAGGCATCGTCATGGCGCGGCTGAGGGGCCGGGGGCCGACGGGGGAGTCCGCTGATCCTGCTGCAGGGGGAACGGAGCTCAGGATGCAACGGATCCAGGCGCTCATTTCCGCCTTTAAGCAAACAGCAGTTTGTTAGGTTTAGTGAGGACCTGACACACAAACACGGTTCATACTGATCTGACACCTCACCTCATCCTTGGCTTGGAACAGGTACTCCTTCCCATCTCTTAATCTGTAGTCAGAAAGATGAGGAATTCATCACAGATTAAGATACTCATTTACATTTATATACACTCCGCATTATTTCCACCGAGTAGTTGTTGCAATTTGACTACTTTTATATGCTTTATTTCTTCTTTTAAAGAAATGTTCWTGTTTYGGGGCTGCTGCCCCTCGCCTCTGGAATGCCCTGCCTGACTACCTCAGGGAACCTCGGTCTGTTGACTCTTTTAAGAAGCAGCTGAAGACATTTTTTTAATTCAGACACTCTTTTAGTTTACTCCTCTTTTATTCTCTTTTATTATTCCATTTTATCCTTATTGTTTTATCTTCTTTTATTGTTTGCACTTTGAGATCTGCTTCAGATATAAAGTGCGTTACAAAAATAATCTATTATTGTTATGTTCAGCTCATTTAGAAGAGGTGCCATGACTCTCATCTTTCCAGTTTTAATCTGCTGTAGTATATTTGTTAAACTTTGTGTTCTTATGGTATTTTAGCTTTGCTACTTTAGCTTGTAACTAGCATGTAAGGCCTCATTTTGTAATAACAACGCATTATGTAACAATGTAATAAAATCAGGCTTCAAAGTGTAATAAACTCTCACAAAAACCGCATTTTGTAATAACGTTGTTACATTTTGCGGCAATTATTACAAAATGTGGTGGTGTAATAATCTGGTGCATTATGTAATAATGTTATTACATTTTGCGGCAATTATTACAAAATGTGGTGGTGTAATAATCTGGTGCATTATGTAATAATGTTATTACATTTTGCGGCAATTATTACAAAATGTGGTGGTGTAATAATCTGGTGCATTATGTAATAATGTTATTACATTTTGCGGCAATTATTACAAAATGTGGTGGTGTAATAATCTGGTGCAT